AAGGGGAGTTAAAAAAAGCTAATGAAAGTTTATTTTTAAAAAGAAAAAAAGCGAGCGAAAGGGGGTTGAAAAAGTTAAAAAAAAGTTTATTAGAAAAAGAGAATGAAAGGAGAGTTGAAAAAGTTAAAAAAAAAGTTTATTTTAGTTTATATTAAAGATCGAACTGGTAGTATATCACGCGATATATAAATAGGGAAATTTTATTTTGATGTTATTAATTATATTAAGGTACATATGTACGTTGCACTGTTGCAGTATATAGCTTGAGATTAATATAGATTAATAATAGATGATAGTTACAGAAAAAAGAAATATGTAACTACTGCGAAATTAGTACGAATTTAGTATATAATTAAAAAAGACCAAAACTGGTACAAATTTAGTATATGGTTCAAAAAAATCCAAAAATGTGTAATTAATACGAATATAGATATGAAACTAGTACAAAACTAAGCAACTAGTACAAATTTAGCATATTACAAGTATAAAACTAAGTGATTAACACAAATTTAGTACATGATTAAAAATACATAATTAGTATAAAACCAAGCGAATAGTACAAGTTTAGTACGTTATTAAAAAATAATTTTTTTGAATTTTATTAAGTGGCTCAAATTTAGTATATAAAATTAACAATATACACATATTCCAAACGAATACAATATAAATTACAAACGATGACTATTTACTGGGATGTTGTGATCTGTCGACTATAATGTCACCAAATAAATTGGTTGCACTTAAATTTAAAATAATAAGTTCAATGATAAATATATAAAGGTCTTTTCCCACTAACTTTAGAAAATTAAAATTATTTACTTATTATTAATATCTTATTAAATAAGTTGCTCGCTGGTGTATTAATCACAGGACGTTACCTACTAGTTCAACCACGACTTGTTATTATTTAATAATATACTAAATATAGTGATAAAAAATCTGAGATAAAGTGATTATAGCAAGAAATCCATCCACTTTTTCTTCTGATATTGTAAAAGTTAAAGCTATTAAAAATGTATGTATCATAATAAATACAGACCGGCAAAAGTAATGGTGGTCAGTTTTTTTTCCGTATTTTTCCAATATTAAGCACCCCTTTTTTGCAGGGATTTTGTGCGAAAAGTTTAGGGGGTGCTTAATTTCGACAGTTTAGAAAAATGCCTTTTAAACGTCTTTAAATTAATTTAAAATTCGTTTAAAAAAATTTTGCAAAAAAAAGTTTCAGTAGTTAAATTCTTTTATTTGTAAATATATTTTTCAATAATAATGTAATCTTGTAATTTTTGTTTTTTTCGATAATATAATAAAATCAATAAGTAGTCGGAGAGGTACTTATTTTCAGTTTATGCTTGATATCGTGCAAAGTAAGGGGGTGCTTAATTTCGGGAGGTGCTTAATATTGGAAAAATATGGTAATTTAGCACAAAAATTTTATAATGAAGCTATGAAATCTTTTTTTATTTTCGAGAAGAAGGGTCAAAAATACATATATTTTATTATTTGATAAATATTTGATTTGACCTCTATTTGCATCAACACATGCTTCAAATTTGATTTTGCGTGCTTTATCATCAATAACCTCGCTATTAATAATTATGCTATTTTCAAAATTATTTTACTTTTTTCTAAATAAATTGAGAAGTGACTTGTAAATTTTTTTTCTTTTTTTTTTGTATTACCATCTTCTTAATATACTGCTTCAAAAACAATCCAAAGTTCTCATTATGATTTGAGATTTGGGCTTTAAAATAATTATGAAAAACTCACTATTGAAAGACAAATTTTCATACCACCTTAGATATTATGAAAGTTGTTATTTTACATCTCTATTATAATAATAAGCTCATCAATAGCCTAAAAAATTATTTGGTAAGTCAAAAATAAACATATTTTTCTTATTGAGAATTAAAATAATGTGAAAATGACCATTATTTTGATTTGGCAGTACTTTTTAAGACATAGCTTTACTTTAGTAAGGTTGCAGGCTAAACTGGTTTTTGAATTTGGCAAAACGTCTAAACCTCAGTTTCGTGAATTTTTTTATAAGAGTTTATTATAGTTTGTCATTTCATATGATTTTTATAGTCAAGTTTCGCCAAATTTTTATTAATATTTTAATATAGTTTTGTCAAGTTTCGCGTTTACTATGGAGTTTCACCCGCAACCTTAAGCTTTAGTATTGACATTTAAAATAAAAATATTTAGAATTTTGGTATTTTTTATAAAAGAGGTATATATTGCTTACAGAAATGCAAAAAATTCTAATTCAATTAGAAAATTCCTAAAAATTTGTCTAGAAAAAGTTAACACCCTCATATATAAATTTAATTGTAATGGAAGCTATTTTGGAATTAATATTTAAAATTACTTTTTTTTCATTGCTTTTTAAATGGGCATTCCATCATTTAATTTGGTATTGCAAGTAATGCTCTAATTGGAATACTGTATATCCTGGGCTATAGTATCTCCTATGCATAGTACTTTTCTTGAAAAATTTCATAGAATTGTATAGTATCCAGAAAGATATTTTACAATTATCTCATGATCCAGTGATCAGATTTGAGCCATCTATTTTTTGTTTGATAACTCTCATTGAGCTTTTCAAAATAAAAAAAAATCATTCAAATTGGACTGGTAGTTAGTGAGATATTCACAAAAACAGAATTTTTAGGTTTTATTTAGTATCTGGGGTACAGGTCAAACTCCTGATTTTTGCAAGATACCCGGAATATTGTGGCTCGCTATATATGGTAGTTATGAAGTTATAATCAAATTAAGAAGTGTTATTCTCACCACCATTATTTTCGCCAAAGACTGTACAGTAATAAAAATCTGGAATACCATTATTCAAAGATAAAGTAATTATAGCAAGAAAATCCATCTGCTTTATCTTCTGATATTGTAAAAGTTAAAGCTATTAAAAATGAATATTTTTAAAAGTATGCATTATAATAGTATTGCAAATTATTAGCAAATTTATTATTTATTACTTTCTAATATATTATATAAAAGTTAAAGCTATTAAAAATGTACATTTAAATGCAATACTTTGGTATTTGGTATATTTTCTGGATCTATTTTTTTTAAGATTTCTGTAAACATAAATTGAGTAAGTCATAGCACTTGAATATAAGGTATTCATATTTTCATATATAACCCAAGACTTCAGTTTGCTAAATTCAAAGTTAGGACATTGCAGATTATTTGCTTTAGCATATTTCTGAGTCATCATTATTATTCCTTTGCGAATATCATTTTCAACTATTAGATATTTTTCCATATTTATTATAAGCTTAAGTTCTACCTCATTACTTTTGTATAGAGAATCATTAAAGATATAGCGTATCATGTAATAATTTCATATGATCAGTATGGCTAATCAGAACACAAATTTTTTGTACAATATAAACTTTTGTAATACTTAACGCAAAGGGTAAATTTTATATGAATAGAAAGCCACGAACTTGGACAACATTTTACAATGTTAAAAAATTTTATTAAATAAAAAACTTTTTGAAAAAATGTCGTATGAAGTTGCGAATGTGCTTTTTTTTTGTGAATGGGCAAATAGGAATTTTATTGATTTCCTATTTACTGGCATTGACTCAATAAAAGAACTTGGTAATGCTTATAATAGTCTTATAATATATAATACTGTTTACTATATATAAACTTATTTTTCTTAGAAGTTTTTATTGTAAAGCTTTAGTTCATTTAGAAATACTTTTGTAAACCATTTCTTTATAGTTATACTATATTTTAAAAAATACTAAAGAATGATTTATTTATATGTTAATTATTACTTTTACGCGTTTAATGTATAATTTATACTTCATTAGTATCGAGATAATTTCTATCAAATCAAACATTAATGGCAAATAAATAAATTCATGGTTAACTGAAAATTAATAGCAGAAAATTATAGCTAATATTCTTTTTTATTTTTTTCAACTTAGTAGATTTCTTATGCTATCTATGACCATATCATATACGTCCTTCCATCTTTGGTTTCCAGTGCAAAACCATCATAAAACCCATATGTTCTTCTACATTTGTCATTAGTCATTTAATTATTGATATATCTACAAAATTAAATGTAATTAATTAGCATCAATATAACAAATAAATAACTTAATTGGCCAAAATACTTACAATAAAATTTGTTACAATTTGCTCATAATAAGTTGGCACTAATATAACCTGTATACATCTACAAACCATGTAGTTTTGAAGTTAATTAGAATCATTCTTCAACCACAT